TTTAAAATGTTTGCATGTGCATGTTTCATGTGCGTGAGAAGTGTCAACACTTGTAAAGATCTTCAGTCTATAAAATAAGCCTTGATTTCATGCCAAATAGACAGTTAACCACACATCTTATGCTGTAGCTGTCAGAGGTTCATCCTGCTGTCAACATCCACTTATCTTATCACTCTAAGCTTTTATTATTGATCCTTTTATGTGATGTGACACTTTTTCACCATTAGATTAATCTGGACATATGGTGATTTTTGCCAGTGTCCATGGCCTCACCTGCAGTGCCTGGAAGGTGTGTGAAAATGGCTCCATCCTCACAAGGAAAGAGGCCACAATGATGGCTGAGGAGTAGTGAGTACAGTAGTGGCATCGTGCAGATAAATCACCTAGAGTGAACCATTATAAAAAGGGACACAGTGAGTTCAATAAAAAGTACAGTGAATAGTAAAAGTTAAAAGAACAGGGTAAGAAGCTGAACAGATACTGTACCTTCGCTGTTCTCCACTTCCTCATATCTCTGGATAAACATCTGTTTCCTTTTCTCTGTCTGAGCTCCCATTGGCTTAGACAGATCACGGAAAGTTGCGGGATTTGACAGATCAAGCGTCTATCAAGGACAGAGATAAATTAGGAGATGAAAATAAGATAAAAATACAACCATTAAAAATATGAACATGGTAGACATCTTACAGATGCTTGGTGCAATCAAACCCCTAATACTTTTATTACTGTGGCGCCTGGATTACAGTAAAAACAATAACCACTTGGTTCAAGACAAAAATTCCGTGTGTCATATTACCTCTGACTGGTAGTCAGCTAGGACCCAGGGGAACACTGGATACTGCATCAGGTCATTGTATGTCCTCCCAGCTATAGTGTTTAGATGCATCAAGTACTCAAAGTTACTTATCTCCCCTTTCTAGAGGACAGACAAGAATAATGTAAAGTAGATTAACATCTCTCTGAACACAGGAATAAATCTATAACAGCGCGCTAGAACCAAACTCTTATTTGTGGAAGTCATTCAGTGTTGCTGTCAAGGAGCTAATAAACTCAAACAACTCTGACAAAGCCGTACAGATGAAGAGTCGTGTTCACTGCATTACCTGCCATTTAACCAGGGCTGTCTTTTCAACCACGGGAGTCTTCCTAAAGCACAATAAAAAACAAATGCTTTGAATTAGCATCAGAGGCTGATTACTGAGCAGTGCCTACCAACACAAAGTTTCTTTTGCTCTGTTGCCTGGCAACCAGTGGTAAAATGCAACGCAGCAGAGTACTGAAGAGGCAGAGTGGAGGTGAGTGAGTGATTCAGGGGAAACAAATTGTGTGTACACAGCTGTAGGAGCATTTATGGGATTGAGGTGAGCTACAGTACAATATGTAGCATAAATAATAGAGAAGTGAAGGACATAGCGCATGGTGCCATCTGTAGGCTGTGGCGAAATATGTTAAGCAACACTAAGTTGTGTGACTAGGAAGGAATGTTTTCCTTGTACAGTGAGTTTTTCAGTAACATGCTTTGACAGACAAAGGTTAATGATTAGTGGCCAAGCAGGAAATAATAAAACTTATTTAGGTGTCGGCTGCAGAACAGTTTACTGATTTCTAAGAAAAACAATAGTTTCCTCTTTGTCTGATTTTTCATTTCATTTCAAATACCATTGTGAGGTGCTATTTTAATAGGCATCCACTCAAACAGAGGTGCACACTTCAAAGTTCTTCTTTAACAGCCTGCTGAGTACAAAAACTGCTCATTCAAAATATTTTACCAGTTCATCTACAAGAGCATGTGTTCAGCTAAACAAAACATTTCTATAAAATGACAGTGTTGCTAAACATTTCATTACATATTTTACTCATGGAACACCGATCTAGACTTGATTAATCTAAATTAGGAAAGCATTCAACTGCTCCTGAAATCTCTTTTCCCTCTGTGGGCCAGTAACACAGCAATAAAGTCCTGGCGCCAAGCACCCCAGTTGCTAAGTAACACTGTTAAACAAGGGGAAC